CGACTCTCTGGCTTCTTTCCTTCAGCCAGTATTCCTAGTTTGAGTTGCATCACTTAGATATTCAGAATTGGCAGTTTTAGAAAACTTAAGTAAACATTTTTCTAACCATTAAAGTAATTCTCCGCTTATGTTGCTAGAGATGATAGAGTCACATTATGAGCCATCTAGATTTTTCTGAGGTTTTTTTAAACAGTTCTGCAGAAGGAACGAAGCAAGTATCTACCCTGTATAACAACATACTAAGATTTAGTTACCAGGTGTACAAATAATAGGTGTTTAGTTTGGGCACGTCAAAAGTAGCCTTTCTTTATGATTTTGAAGGCTTTTTCCTAGAAGCCCAAGTAACAAAAATAGAAATAGAGCAATAGCTGTAAATAGTTGTATGGCAAGAAAAGGGGGAAAAAAAAGCTATATACTGAAGTCAAGCTTGTGGTTCAGAACATTTACTTGCATTTCATTGCTCTTCCTGCAGTTTATTAATTTGCTTAATTGCTTTAAGCAGGGGGAGGGAAAGCTAATGAACATAATGTGAGATGCACCTGGTGTTTTGTGGGGATCACTTTTCAAATTAGAAACCAATGGCTTACATTTTTTGCTTTACTTTTTTGTAGAATATAGGTGGAAAATTCAGAAACTTGCATAGCTGCTTCATCTAGAAAAGCATGCATTGCAACACAGCAGAAAAAAAAGGCAGTGATTAATAACTACATTAATTTGGAAAGCCAGCATTTTTTGATTCAGTGAAACACCAGTTAAAAGAAGAGAAAATGCTTTCAAGCTCCAATTTACTATGACTGGAGGGATGGTGGTGATTTTGGTGCAGTCTTGATTTTGCTACTGACTACGTAGGGGGTGAGTAGAGAGGTGGTTTAATTGTTTTCTGAATTTTCTTTTTTGGGGAATGACACATTGGATTTTGCTTGTGCTGTTGCCTGTCCATGTAGCAAGTCCAGCTGTGATCCCCTGTAACTGGTAGATGATGCAGTGAAAGAGTTCTCATGAGGGTTCTCTGGGGAGCTCTTACAGTGGTGCTATGTCACAGAAGAACCTCTGTAAGAAGGTTTTGTCCACAAAACTGTAGTGAAAGAATTGGAAAGAAGGTGAAAAAAATCACATGGGCAGTGTTCTAGTACTTGGATAAAATTCCTTTTTTACAATGAGAGTGGTGTTGGGAAGGAAGTCCAATTTAAACTTTCTTTGACAACCTTCAGCAAGATAGCATAATAGTCTTTCTTGAAACTCTGAAAACACTGTGAAGCACTTGCATTTTTTATCAGTTCAGGGCTGATATGCTCTTAAGAGTGCACACGTGTTTTACTTCAAGGTTCATCACAGTTAGTGTACTTTTCCATCTGGTTTGGACGTTTTGCAGAAGCTTGTGAGCATTCTCTCTAATTTAGTATGTTGGGAATTAGGTGCATGTTCCTTCTACAGCTCCTCTATTTGAACTTAACAGAAAGATCAGTCTGTTGGTGAGCACCAAGGTATTTGTTGATCAGCTGCTTGTTGCCACTGACAGGTAATGGCAAATGCCTACTTTTGAACACTGAGGGATTTCCTTCGGCGTGTTTTGGCAATTCCCACAGAAGGCTTGCTGAAGGTCTTGTTCTTCGGACTACTAACAGATTGATTCCCTGGTCTTGAGAATCTCTCTCTGGAATTAGAGATTCCTTGTTTCCTTTTGCATGCTCTCATGTGGTGACATTTAGGCTGTGTGAAGGAGTAGAGTGGTGAGGATATGAGACTTATTTTAATTCCAGTTTCTGGCTGGCATTTCAGTTTCTAGATCTAAAGACATAGTTGTAAATGTTGAGGGGGAAAGAAAAAACATTTTCAATTTCTGCCAGGTTTTGCTGGCGTGCTTTACGTTGTAAGGATGTTGATCCTGTTGTCTTCCATAATCATCCAAGAAAATTTGAAACACATATAGGTGGAACAAAAATAGTTTATCTCCAAAAAATGATAGCTCCAGTTTGGCAATGTGTGAAATAGCTGTGCTCTTCTAGAATTTGAAAGTCACTTTTAAGGATAAAGTAACCCACCCATGATTCTTTGCTATTTTAACTTCCCGTTTGATAATTTGTAAACTTAAAAATTTTCTATATTCTGCCATTCTTCTGTGCTGTGGTTCTTCCCCCTCTCCATCCTCTAGTGTATTTTCTGGAATTGATGTTCAATCTTTCCAGTCAGGCAAGGTATATGGTTTATTCTAACAAATGCCATGTGAGCAGATCTGTATTTCTATGATATATTTTTTATTTGCAATAAGAGAATAGATCTGTTATTCCCCAGAAGAGGTGGGCTTACTGTTGTTGTTTTGTAAGCACTATACCTGAGTAAACCTTTTTGCTTCATCATCACCCCCAGTAATAATAGTAGAAAGAAGTTGGATATTACCCCGAGAATAATCTATGTGGTCTGCACGTGACCGTCCTCTTTTTCTAAGCAAAGTTAAGTTGAACTTGGCAAAATAAAATGAGGGAAAGAAAAAAGAGTAAATAAAACCATCAAATCACTACAGCTCTTGAGCTATACAGTGTTTTATAACGGTAGGTTAGTATTCAGGATTTTGTGAAAATCTGGTGTGTAAAACAATCTCAAAATCATGTCCAATAATAACAGTTCAAAAGAATTTTAGAAATGTTTATCTGACAACAGAATGTCTTCATTGCTATGCAAGGAAGAGAAAAGATGAACAGAAGGCTAACAGAATTTGAATAGTACATGTTTATGGAACAAGCAGCTACTTTATTCACAAGGTATAAAGAACATTTGTTTCCAAATTGAGTTTTGTATGTGTGAAAACTCACACCACCACCCCTTAGGTAAGCGGTGTTACAGACTTCTGTCCCTTGGGACAAGAAATTAGGAGGAAGTGGGGGAACAGATACTGAGAAACAGGAGATTCTGATGTTACCTTGTGGTCACTTTGAAATTTCAGATGTTTTTTCAGAGCTGGTGGGACCTAAAGGCATTTGGAGTGCTTGAAACCAGTTCAGTTTTATGTGGAAGAACCTGGGATTTAGGACCAAATCTGATAGAGGATTTGTGGATTTGACAATATGTAGTGGGTTTTTGGTTGTTTTAGAAGTGTAATTCAGAATGCTGTGTTAGACCACACTGTGCAAGAAGAGTGAGGCCTCTTTGAAGGGAATCACACAGTGACCCGAGGGCTGCCTGGAGGTAGATGAAGTAAAATGTTCAAGATAGGATATGTTTTGGTATTGTCTCAGGACCTTAAATTGGCCTAGATACTATGGAAGGTCCTGGAAAGGTAAATTCTTACAGCCCCACCCCGACTCCAATAAAAGTGAGCAGGGATAGCTCTTTAAAAATTGAGGTAACACTGAGCAGAAGCACTTCATTCAAAGCCATTCAAGCTTGTAACTCTCACTCGAGAAGTGGAAGTTCAAACCTACCCCCACAGTTTACCAAATAAATGCACAACCAAATGATTACAGGTTGAGATGTTTTCCTCTTGTGTTAAAGGCATTTGTTAACATGTGGAAACTCACAGAGGGGAAACCATAAGGTAACCGTCATGATGAATGGGTAGTGCCGTCATGTTTTCTGAAGGAAAGGGTTTGAGTACCTTCCCTTCCTACCCCACCCCAATTAAATAGCCCTGTGAGCAGAGCCTCGCATTTGAGAATACTTGCTTGGGCTTGGTTGTGAGAATTTAGCAGAAATTAGACTAGCGTAACTTTGGTAAACACAGCATGGGTGTGTAGAATATTTTTCAAAAGCAGGAGAGTAGTACATTTTTAATTACGTGCTTCGTAGATAAAGCAGAAGATGATCAGAAGCTTTTTTTGGGTGAAGGAATAATGATTTTTAGACTTGAGTTCAGTTGTGCCTAATTCTGACTTAAATTCTGCATGTGACTATTCTGAAAAATATTAGTCACTGCTGTTAATCACTAAATTGCCTTCTGGATTTTGGATGACAGTACATTAGCTTAACCCTCACAAATGTAATTGCTCTCAAGATTACCTGAATGAAACTAAGTAAAATAGTCTTCTAATGACACGTAGTCATTTAGGTTTTCTGGATTGTTTCTCTTGGTCAGAATTTTAATATCTTTTAAATGTATTCATAGGTAAAAACATCAGAGTTTTATCGATACTCCCGGCAACTGCGACATGAGGTTGATCAAGCCATGAATTACTTTCATAGCATTCACCAGCAGCCTTTGATGGAAATGAAATCGAACAAAATTCGTTCTGCCAAACCCCAAACTGCAGTATTTAGAGGAATGATAGGACACAGTATGGTAAACAGTAAAATTCTTCTCTTGCACAAACCAAGGGTCTGGTGGGAACTGGAGGGCCCTCAAGTACCTTTGCGACCAGACTGCCTTGCCATTGTGAATAACTTTGTGTTCCTATTAGGTGGGGAAGAACTGGGGCCCGATGGTGAGTTTCACGCTTCATCCAAAGTGTTTAGATATGACCCAAGACAGAACACTTGGTTACGAATGTCAGACATGTCTGTTCCACGCTCTGAGTTTGCTGTTGGAGTTATTGGGAGGTACGTGTATGCGGTAGCTGGGAGAACCAGGGATGAAACGTTTTACTCGACCGAACGGTATGATATTACTGAAGATAAATGGGAATTTGTGGATCCCTATCCAGTCAATAAATACGGACACGAAGGGACTGTGCTTGGTAACAAGTTGTATATCACTGGTGGAATTACATCATCTTCAACTTCTAAGCAAGTGTGTGTGTTTGATCCCAGTAAAGAAGGGACAGTAGAGCAGCGAACGAGGAGAACTCAAGTGGTCACTAACTGCTGGGAGAACAAATGCAAAATGAATTATGCAAGATGCTTTCACAAAATGATTTCTTATAATGGTAAGCTTTATGTCTTTGGTGGTGTCTGTGTGATCTTACGGGCCTCCTTTGAATCTCAAGGATGTCCTTCTACAGAGGTTTATGACCCAGATACTGATCAATGGACTATATTGGCTTCTATGCCAATTGGTAGGAGTGGTCATGGTGTCGCTGTTCTGGACAAACAGATAATGGTTCTTGGAGGCCTTTGTTACAATGGGCATTACAGTGATTCGATTCTCACCTTTGATCCAGAGGAAAACAAATGGAAAGAAGATGAATACCCGAGGATGCCGTGTAAGCTGGATGGCTTACAAGTCTGCAGCTTGCACTTTCCTGAATATGTTTTGGAGCATGTTAGACGTTGCAGCTAAAACAGAATGAGCTCGATTAAATACGAAAAGCTATATACCTAGTTTGTCACAAAATACAAACCAGTTGAATTCCTTCAGAGACATTACCTTGTGTATAAGAACAACTGCTAATGCTTAAGAGGAGCAAGATGTACAGGGGAAGTACTTACCAAGTTTATGAGAAAAGCCAATAGTTGGTCTGATATTGTAAAAGCTTTGGGTTTTTTTAACAAACATAATTGTAAGTAGGGGAAAGAAAAATATATTTTTGAGTGTGCTTATTTTTTTGGTAATGTTTTATGTCCATAATACTATCTTCTCTTTTTTTTTTTTCTTAATAGCCATTGTATCACTATGCTTCTGAAATCTGTTGAATTTAACAAAATGTTTGTGGAAGGACGAAAGACTTTCTTTTCATTTTCTATTGAGCATCAAAGTAAATCTCATCATCTGTATTAGGGTACAACCAGGTTTAAAAGAACAAAACTAAACCATTTCTGTATTTTGTGTTGTCTTTTGGATGCTTTTCCCATCAGTTGCAAAGTATTCTCAGATCTACTAGGTAGTTTTTTTTTCCCTTCTCTACGTTGAAAAAGAATCTTAACCCCTTTGCATGACCTTTTTCCTGGTTTTGTATAGTAGTATCAGTAACTCTGCTAAAATGCAAATTACACATTTTCTACTAAATTGAAAATGAAACATTTTTATATCCAAAACACTATTTCTATGCTGCCTTCTATTGTCTGCATTGTGTTTGTGGGTGAGTAAAAAATATATGCACACATGCATACACTGTAAAAACTATGTATAAATACATCTTTTTATGTGCAGTTACAATATTATATTTTAACTAGTGCACAAATGCAGCCATATCTGTTGAATTTAAGGTATAGTACTATCCTTTAATGAGCTTAAATAATTTGAAGTTCTTAAGTAACTGAAGGCCTCATTTGGTATCAAAGTATCTTATCTTTAGTATATACTGATTGATTCAGTAACTTTAAACTCTTTATATCAATGCTACGTAATGAACTGTTGATAATTTGTTATTTTATAAATTATTTTTTAAAAAGTATACATATCTTACCTGAGTTTCTTTTGTTTGAATGTGCTGCCCAGTCTTCATTTTTTTATGAAAATGGAAAATGTCAATAAGCAAATGCTCAGCACTGCTTTGATCCAGTTGTTTTTGGAACTGGATAAACTACAGTTTATTCACCGTACTTCGCTTGTACTTGTACTTCAGTACGAATATTTCGTTGGTACTTGTATTGAAGTGATATGATCTTTTTTATTATTATTTTAATTATTGATTGATGTGAACTACTGTGTTTTGAAAATAAGGAGTTAGGGGGTTGGATGGTTAGTACAATCTATGTTTCTTCTACAAAAAACCCTACACAACTATTGCTACTGACCTCAGAGTGCCTGTGGTCCAAGAGGGCTTTGAATAACTCCATTGTGTTCACTTGCAGGTATTACTGACAGCAGATTGGTAAGAATTATCTGCCAAGACATAAATAATAACAGTAATTACATTCTGATTATATTTAATGTGAAATTAGCCACTGCTAGAATCTAAGGCAGAGATTTGAAGAAGTTGAAGAGTCACACCTCGTTCAGATGTGTAGGGGCAAAATGCTGAAACATGCACCTGCATATTTTGTAGAGTCTTAGGCTGCTGCGTTTCACTGGAAGCAGTAGACTTTACTCTATGTGCAGCAATGCAAAACCACTTTATTCAGCACCTTCCAGTCAGAAATCACTGTAGAAAAGGAATGTACAGTACTCAGGGAGTTCAAAAGAACGCACTTACAAAGGGACCAAAATAACCCAAAATTTCCTGTGTTAAAAATGACATGTACTTGCCTAAACTAAGTTTGAAATAATTGCTACAAGTTGAAACAGCATGTAAAACCCCTCATACTTGTATTTTGATATTTTTGTAGTAATTACGTTCTGGGTTGAGATGTGAGGATTTGGAGCTAGATGGCAAGTCAGCAGTTTTGTTGTTTGGTTTTTTTTTTTAAGTAGAAATGATTTCTTGAGAGTGTTTTCTTTCCACATGTTTTAACGGAAAGAGAGAATGTATGCCCTTGTAGCTGTAGTGGTAAGTTACTTACACCAATAGTGACTGGACCAAATAGAGATTCAGCCTTCTGAATTTAACTTTGCAGTTAAATTTAAGTGTTTTTGAATCAAAATTCAGTTAACTGAATTAGAAATGGAAATTACTTTCTTAATAGCTTAACATAAAGGCGGCATGGCTTACATTAAAACCTCAGTTTCACTGTGAGACTCCTGTGTACATTATTACCCTGCGTGGGTGCCGAGAGACACTGACTCCGTTTGTTGGTGCTGGCCATGTGCAAGTAAAAAGGTTCTGCTGTGCATAGATCATGGAAACAAGAAAAACACAAGGTGTTTTTTATTGGTTTATTCTTTTTGTCGCCATAAAACAATTTTTAAAAACCCTTGTGTTTTTCTTGTTTCATTTCTTTTGTCACCAGCTCATTTCTCAGTAAGTTTATAGGGCAGCAAAAACTAATCCTGCCTGAGAAGGCTTTCATGGACATGTTAGATGTAGTACAGAGTACTTCACTTTTATTTAGGGCTAGTGTGGGGAATGGACGTGGTTCTGGATATCTGGTCTTCAGGAGTAGTAAAGAGACCTAGCCAAGACTTTATTAAAAATAATGGTAAGGATGGAGATGTCTCAAAGTTACGTTTTTGAGTCTGCATTTAAGCACCTTCTGAAGTCCCGTGTGCTGAGCAACTGCTGCGAAAGTCGTTGGTGAGTACTGACACTTGAAACATGAAGAACCAGATCATTTTTAGGTGCTCTGCTTTTAAGTTCGTATTTATCTTCAGGTGCCCAGTTCTGATAGATCTTATTCAGGATTGCAGTAGTGATTATTCTGTGAAATTCGAACTTGAACTGTTGGTTTCAGCTTCCTCCAAGTTGTGTCTCTGAGAAGCTGGCTGTAACCTTTCCAGCGTTAGGAATGATTGGAATTTGCTTGGGTTTAGAACATGTGGGGATATGTGAGAACGTTTTGTTAATTTATCTACTGTGCTTTTATTGTTTCAAACATGAAATATTAAATTGGCTTGCATTCTCTTTTCTGCTGCAGTGGAACTTTTGCAGCAGTTAATTTTGTTACTTTATGTATCAGAGGGATATTTTTTTAGTTAAAAGTTTGTGTTTGCTTTTAGTATTTAGCTCCAGATAATTTAGTGTTTAAATAAAAAGAAAACTAGACTGGCTGAGAAGAATTCATAGAATCAGAGAAGGGACCTTTGATGTCATCTGTTCCAACCCCCTTGCAGTGAGCAAGGACATCTTTAACTGGATCAGGTTGCTCAGAGTCCTGTCCAGCCTGACCTTGAATATCTCCAGGGATGGGACCTCCTCCACCTCTCTGGGCAGCCTGTTGCAGTGTTTCACCACCCTCACAGTGAAGGACTTCTGCTTCATGTTTAATCTAAATCTACCCTTTTCTAGTTTAAAACCATTGCCCCTTGTCCTATTGCTGCCTGCCCTTGTAAACAGCTCTTCTCCAGCTTTCTCGTAGGCCCCTTCAGGTATTGGAAGGTCGCTATAAGGTCCCCCCAGAGCCTTCTCTTCTCCAGGCTGAATAACTACAACCCTCTCAGCCTGTCTTCATAGGAGAGGTGCCCTAGCTCTCTGATCATTTTTGTGGCCAACAAAACTACCCTCTTGTTGGCCTGTTCAATTGACTGTTACTATCAAATTTTGAGCACTATGATCAGAGTAATAAGAGTTTTAGAAACATTTAAATTCCTCTCTTTTGTCAAGGAAAAGATCAGTTGTGATCTTGGATTAAAAACATCCCCAAACTTACTTCTTTTTCCACCCCAACCAGCAAATCTCATCTCACCCACATATTTAAAATGTAACATATGACCTGCTTTTAAACAGCAAGTGTGCTTGCCTTCTCTTAAAAAGATGGACATGGTGAGTTACAGATTTTTTCACGCTTACAGCAAAAATGTATCCGCTTCATGTCTGCATTTAGCAGCTAGCTCCAAGAGGAAATTTTGTTTTCAAATGAGCCAGAATGGAAAAAGCACAGTGCTCCTGTGAAGCAGTTGAACGTTGCCAGTTCCCATTCTGCATGCTGCTATATCTCTTTTTAGGGGACAGATAATTTTCTTCAAAGTACTGCATAAGTAAAAAGTACCTCGTTTTTTCCCCACAGAGTGTTGGGAGTAGTTTCCTAGTGAGAGGTTTTTGGTGGCAAAAAAAACTTTTGATTTTTTCTTTTCCCCCCCCCCCGCACATTGATTGAGCTGGAAGAAGGCAGTACTCAATTTTACAAAGGCTCTGCTATTTCAGCAAGCACTGCTAGCAACAGGGGCTGGTGGCAGCATATGAGCTACCTGGCAACCTGCTTTTATGGTACTTTATTTGAAAAGTGTGGATGCCCTACTTTCTGTGGTGTGATGGCAGTCCTGTTATAGCTGGCTCTAAGGGTTTGTGACTTCAGTGTTGCTCTGGTTTCTGAGATTTGTGGCCATTTTTTCTTGATGACCTCCTGCCTTACAAAGCCGAGTGCTGTGTTTTTTTCACGCTGATGATATGGTAACTTTGCATCAGTCTTGACAATCAGGAAGCAAAGGATACAATTCAGTAGGTACAAAATTGAATTGCTTTAAAAAGAAAACATTGCTTAACTCATTATGTCCATTCTTTTGCAAAAGGAGGGTAAGCATTATGGTGAGATGCTAATGGCTCTTTACAAATAATAAATTGTGTCAGCAGTTGTATGACAAAGTCTTTGTAGAAATAGTCACACTTGTAGAGGTATTTTGCCTTTTTGATACATTTTTCCTTAAAATACCCCCAAAAAGTCGTGAATTGGGCCCCTGGTTCTTTTAGCACTTCAAATGTGTATTTCACATGTGTGAACAGTCCAATGTAAAGAAAACAGAAAACTGTAAGGTACTTAAAACATAAAGGTGCAGGTGTTACTAAACCTGTGTTTAAGTGCTCGAGGGCATCAAAGACATCTATCCTGCTCTCCTTCCGTTATTAAAAATATACC